AGGGCCTGTCCTTTTGATAACCTTGCCCATTCACTGCTATTCCACCCTGTTCTGACCTGATGTGGTTCTCCTTGGACACTGGGTGGGGCAGAAAGAGACGGAGGCAGGAAGACACAGCTTACATCTGTCCCTTTCCTCTGCAGGCACACAGAATGTGATTGACGCTTGTGTGCAGACTGGGACTCGGTTCCTGGTCTACACGAGCAGCATGGAAGTGGTGGGGCCTAATGTCAAGGGCCACCCCTTCTACAGGTGAGCTCGGCCCCACTCAGTCTTAGAGCCCATCTCCTTCCAGTACTGAGTCTGCTTTCTCCCTACTCCAGGGGCAATGAAGACACCCCATATGAGGCAGTCCACAGGCATCCCTACCCATGCAGCAAAGCCCTTGCTGAACAGCTGGTCCTGGAGGCCAACGGAAGGAAGGTACACTGCAAAGATGGGGCTTGGGGTGCAGAGGCAGTGCCTGGGTCTCCGGCTTCTCTGCATGCATCTGCAGCCCATGGTGGGGAGGGTGGGCGCATCTTCCAACATCGCCCTTTGCCACCAGGTCAATGGAGGACTACCCCTGGTGACATGTGCCCTTCGACCCACGGGCATTTATGGTGAAGGTCATCAGGTCATGAGAGACTTCTACCACCAGGGACTGCGCTTTGGAGGTCGGCTGTTTCGGGCCATCCCAGCTTCTGTGGAGCATGGTCGGGTCTATGTTGGTAAGGACGGGGAAAGGCAAAGGGAAAGCGGGGCAAGAGGACTGGCTCTGACAGTGGCAGAGTCACCAGTGTACGCCTGGCTCCACAGGGCTCGGGCAGACAGTGGGCATGTGGGCATTTTCTGCATGAGTTGCAAAGGGAAAAGTATCCATGCCAGTTGGGAGGGCTGACATAAAAACATGTCACAGGTTATTCCAAGCAGGGGGAGCAGTAGCTCTCCAGGGAAAGGGGTAGCATCTACACAGGAACCAAGTAGCTGTAGGATCCCCAGGAGGGCTGGTGGCTACAGGGCCTTGGAGAGGCAACCTTGACCAGACAGTAGAGAGGTGTGGGCAAAATATATGTGGAGCTAAATAGGGGGCTGGACCAAGGCCGGCTTATCTCCCTCCCTCCCTCCTGTAGGCAATGTGGCTTGGATGCACTTGCTGGTGGCCCGAGAGCTGGAGCAGCGGGCAGCACTCATGGGTGGCCAGGTATATTTCTGCTATGACAAGTCACCTTATAAAAGCTACGAGGACTTCAACATGGAGTTCCTGAGTCCCTGTGGACTTCGGCTGATAGGCACCCACCCACTGCTGCCCTACTGGCTGCTGGTGCTGCTGGCCGCCCTCAATGCCCTGCTGCAGTGGCTGCTTCGTCCACTGGTGCTGTACACACCCCTGTTGAATCCCTACACTCTGGCTGTGGCCAACACCACCTTTACTGTCAGTACCAACAAGGCACAGCGCCATTTTGGCTACAAGCCCCTCTTCTCATGGGAAGAGAGCAGGACCCGCACCATTCACTGGGTGCAGACCATGGAAGGTTCGGCCTGGTGATGGCAGGGCTAGGAACTGGAGACCACTGTGGCACATACTCCAGGTCCTCGGCCCCCAAAGCCTGGATGGAGAAAAATGGCTACCTTTTGAAGCTGAACACCCTGCTCTACACATCATGACTCCATGATGTGGACCCTGCCACACCTTAACTACACAGCTCTTAAGACTGGTTCCTATCCCAGTCTCCAAGTTCTAGAAGAGGGTTTAGGGACAGGCCAATCTTTGGTGCCAACTCAGTCCTGCCAGCTAGTTGGCAAAACTGATTCCTGAATGGTCTCACTACCACTTCCTGTTTCCAGTTTCCCAAGCAGGGAGGGACAAAGACTCCAGAGATCTCACACTGGTCTGCTCCGGGTACCATTTTCAGACCTGGCTCCAGCCACATCTGATTCTCCTTAAGGGTTATACTTTAACTTTTTTTTTTTTTTTTTTTGGTTTGGTTTGTTTTTTTGAGACAGGGTTTCCTGGAACTCACTCTGTAGACCAGGCTGGCCTCAAACTCAGAAATCCGCCTGCCTCTGCCTCCCAAGTGCTGGGATTAAAGGCGTGCGCCACCACCGCCCGGCCCTTTCATCATTTTTTTAAGTGTATCTCTTTTAGACATTTATATTTTAATCTGCTTTAAAGAAAACTGAAGAGATCAATGATTTCCCATGTCTTGTCTCTCCTAACAAGTTTACCTATAATACTGTTAGTTTCCTCCCTGAGGATGTCAGCCTGTATCTGGCCAAGCCTGGATTAAAATACTTTTCCAAGTCTGTGTCTACCTGTTACCCAACCCACTCACCCAATATCTCCCACACCACGGCGCCTGTCCCTGTGGGGACAGAAGGAAGTGAGCACACAGCACGCCCGCTGTTGGATTAGTTGCTATTTCTCCCGTCCCACCAGGCCCAATCCGGCCCAGGATGGGGTTCAGGGGCACTGGGGACAGGACATGCAGGTCTGGGGCAGAGGGTCAGAATTTCCTGTATTTTATCCATTTGCAACTTGGTCACCAATAGAGAGCAATAAGACTCTGAGGGCTAACAGGAGGGTGGCCAGGCTCAGGCCCCCAAGCTAGGCCCCAGGAGTCCTGTCCCCTCAGGGGAGGGGAGGAAGAGAGTTCTAGAAACCAATGGAGAAAAAGAGAAGGGGGCAGGGGCTCATGTCAGCAAACATGGCTACATCACGTGACACGCCAGCGACACAGAAACACACCAACGCACACAGCTGCACAGCAGGGCATAGGGAGAGGCTAGGTAGGGGAAAAGAGAGCTAGGGGCCGACCATCTTGTCCTCTGTTGGGTAGGCAGGGCAGGGCGAGTGCATAGAACACACATGTGTACACGCTCAAGGTATGACGGGAGCATGATGACTCACGGGCACATGAGATGGACACTCAGTGTGCTTTGTAAGAGGCAAGAAAAGGGAGAATGGAAGCATTGAGTCCTGGCTTGGGCCTGGGACCACCAAGGGGGCAGAATTGGGCTTGATGGTTTGGGGAGTATGGAGGGCACGCAGCACACATCTGAGAACATGCAACAGAACCAGCCCCCAGACAACCATCCAGGATACACATGTAGACAGCAGCCAACAAGCATGTCCATCATGTGATGTGTGGGTCTTGTAGAAAGCTGAGTTACAGCAGACTCTCAGGGACTGCTCATCCACTTGAGGCCCAGTGCTAGGCAGCCGTGGGCCCAGTGCCATTCAAAGAGGCAGGAGCAGCATGCCAGCCACAGTCCTGGCCTTGTGAACACCATGCCTGGGGTGTTGGGGAGGCTGTGAGAAACATCTGAGTTAATGAGCATTCTGGGCTGAAAGAAGGGAACTAGATCCTGAGGCCTCTGACATCTCCAAAGAAGCCAAAGGTGAGGGCAGGAGGCTCTTGGCCCTGCAGAAGAGTATTCTGGAATGGATAGGCAGGCTCCCTCATCAGCACAGCTAATCTAGGGGTTACATACATGTGGACATGAACACACACACACACACACACACACACACACACACACACACACACACTAGGTGGGCAGGGCTCAAACAGCCAGGCGGGGAAGAGATCAGCTGTCAGAGCTGGCTCAGAAGTGTCTTGTTATCTAGAAGGTCCTATTTGCGGGGTCACTCCCTTCTCCCTGAGTTCTGAACACACTTGTGTACACATACACTTCATGTGACTACCTTACTCCAGGGCAGGCAGGACATACGCACCTCTATATATCACCTCAATGTTCATAGGACTGCTATCCCATTGACCTCTTGTCTGTTCCCAAAGAACCCACAAACTGCACAGCTGTCCACACGACGCAGGAATCCCTCCATTGCTTACTGCTTCAGAACCCCCTGTCTCACCATCCCAGTCACTCAGAGCCCCCGTCTCACCATCCCAGTTACTCAACTGTGGTTGTGGCCATGGCTGAGGTTTCAGCAGGAGACATGCCCAAGGGACAGGTTCAAGGATGGCCCTAAATGGTCACTCAGGGATATGTGAAATCCAGTTGCCCAAACGCAAGTTTTTTGAGAAAGTTCAAAACATCAGCTGGGGCAGTGAGGAGAAACAATGGATTCTAAGGTGACACTGAGAGGCAGGGAGGGGAAATACCATGCCTTTCCACCTGCCATGGGCAGCCCCTGACCTCTAACTTCATTACTCCTACCATACCCCTCCAGGAGATACTCATGTACAAATGGGGATGGCCCTGGGCAGGCACTATGCTGTTTATGTGTGAGGCCCCAGCACCTATGTGTGGCCACCTTTCAGGATTTTCTCAGCCTCAGCATTCATGAGCACACTAGTGTGTGCTGGTTGTCCAAGGCTCCGTTCTGCTGTCAGGCAGAAACAGAGAGAAGTGAGAATCTGTGTCTATGTTTCCCCATCAGATGGTCTGATGAGGCGGAAGCTCCACTCACACACTTGTGATGCAGCAGTGTGTGTGGCTTCTGTTTTGAGGAGATGGAGAGGAAGCAACTGAGCCTGAAGAGACAAACCTGAATGGTAGCAGAGCCTTAAAGAGGGGTGTGTGTGTGCGTGCATGGGTGTGTGTGTATATGTGTGAGTGTGTGTGTGTGTGACATACAGAAGCAGAAACACATTATGTAAAGTCCCTAAGGATGCGCACATGCACACATACAGTCATATTTGAGATAGCTTAGAAACAGGTATCTGTACCCACCCAAAACCAGTGTCTGATTCACAGCATGGAGGGCTCTGTCTGAGGAGAAAACTATCAATACTTTTACACACACACACACACACACACACATCTTGTGCAGAAGCCCTTTACATCATTTGTTAAGGAAAATACACATTCATCCAAAATAAGCCAGGCTGTTTATCATTTACACACAGGCTTCCACTTGCTTCCCCTGAACTCCAATACCCAACACACACGCACATACACACACACACAGAGGTGGGGGGGAGGGAGAGGGAGAAAGAGAGAGGGAGGGAGAAAAGCTGAGAGAGACAGAGAGAGACAGAGAGAGACAGAGAGAGACAGAGACAGAGAGAGACAGAGAGAGAGAGAGAGAGAGAGAGAGAGAGAGAGAGAGAGAGAGACCCCAGGACATGATGTGACCCCTGGCAGTAACCAAGTCAGGAGTTTATTCTACATCACATAAGATATGTGGCATGGTCACTGGGCCTCCCTGGATCCTCTGAAGATGTGAATTATCCTCACACATACCTCCCACTCCAAATGTAGCAGATAGGAGGGAAGGTCAGTGGAGGAATTGCATTTACATTGGGTTTTCACAGGTACTCACAAAACTCCATGTACATACAGTATATGGGCACAGATCTATGCACACACACATACACACACACACACACACACACACACACACACACACTATCCATGTCTATTCACACAGAACAGGTTGGGCCATGGTGGGCTGCTACAGTTAGCACAGCAACCGGATAGAGAGGGAAGTTCAGACCACACAGGATGAAGGTGGCAGCAAGAAGAGGTTCAGGGCATCTACATACATCTACACAAGTACACACACGCTGGGGTGTCCACACTTCTTGAGCATGTGCCCTCGGCATGCATGTTGGTGTGCATGTGTGATCACGCCTGCTGCTATCTATGTGCGGCAAGGGGGCAGGGGAGCCGTGGCAAGGTGAGAGAGAGCCAGGGACTCCAGGGTCTGCGTGAGGTGAGAGCGGCTGGGACTGCCTGGGTCTGTTTTGGGAGTGAGCTTGGAGCAGGGGAAAAGTGAAGGGGGGGGTATTGCTCCCGATGTATGGGGAGGGTCCTGGGGAAGAGAAGGGCGGGGCCTACAAGCCCAGTGTCCCCCCAATGGATGACGCCAAGACCACCCCCAGCACCACACAGCAAATGATGATCATGATTTTCTTCTGCAGGTAGAAAGATAAGAGAGATAGGGAGAGGAAGAGGGAAAGAGAGGGATAGGGAGAGAGGTAGACAGACAAATGAAGGGAGAGTTGGGATGTCGGACATGAGGAAAAAGAGGGGAGAGAAAACAGAAACAGGAAGCGGTCAGAGCCGTAGATGTAGATAAGGCCTCTCACCCTTTTCGTAACCGCCACACCCCACCCACTGATGGCCTAGCCGGCCTCCCCCTGCATCAGGCAACCTCCGCTGGCTTACCCTCCTGGCCTTGCTCTGATATTTCACAGCTTTCTTGGTGTCGGACACGGCTCGTTCCACGTAGTCCACGGAATGTTCCACGTTGTACTCAATTCGGTCGATCATCTCACCCTGCACACAGAGGCAGTGAGACGGGGGACAGAGAGCTGGGCTAGCCTACCCCGGACCCATGTGGCAGGGCCTGTACCTGGCTCTCTACGAGCATGGCCATGTCCACAAACATGTCGTGCAGCTCTCGGATGCTGGTTTCCAGTTTAATGATCTCGTTGTGCCTTGTCTCAATCTCATTCAGGGCTTGCTTCGTCATCTGCGAGTCCATTTTGATCTAAGGTGATGGGGGGAAGAAAGGAAGTGATCGCCCTTTGTCTGTGGAACAGCTTCAGCTCAACAGAAGGGCAGGGTTCAAATCCTTGTGGAGTGACAATTTTGGAATTTTGGTTTATTTAAAAAAAACACAGAAATACTATAAGAATATGTGTTCATTTCAATCCCAGGTGTGGGATATGAGGCTGCTTCAGCATATCCACAGCAGCTGACTGTGATTTGCCTCGTGCTCTGGCAGGGGTGTGATTTTGCAAGTGGCAGGTAGTTTCTGCAATTGTATGATGTGGGATGAGAAAAAAAATATATATATATATCACCAAAAGATGGGGTTAGTGGTGGTGGTGGGTTGGATGTTGGTCAACTGATATTGGTTCTAGTTTGTTGAGTAGTCATATGCAAAGAAGAAAGAAATCCTGACAGTGCTGAGGCGAAGATCAAACTTTCCCCAAGGAACTTGAAGCTACTAATCAGCAGGAAGTAGCCTAACAATGATGCTACCCACTTCTCCGCTATCCTACTTTCTCTCCTATCTGCTGTTAGGGGGTTGAAAGGGTGGGAGAAAGAAGAACCCACAAAGCACTAACGCTGGCTACATCCTTGGGCAAATTATTTACCCTCTTCTGGACTTTGCTAACACCACCTAGAAAATATGGATCACAGTAAGCCATCTGCCTCAAAAGATTACTGCAAAACGGAATGCTTGGATGGATTCCTGGAACACGTTAGGCATCAAAGAGAAGTTTGCAAATTACAAGAAAACGGCTTGTATAGAGCTCACAACCTCACCCCAGGGCACATAGTGAGCCCAGGAAAGAGAGCCGGTCAAAAGCTGACAGGGTGAAGTGGGACAGACAGCAGGAAAGAATCGAGAAACAGGAAGGCTCAGATGAGAAGGATGCCCATGAGCTGACAGGAAACTTCATGAGCTGAGGCAGGGGATAAATAAGAAAAAAAAAAATGCACTACCGGCCTCAAGAAGTCAGGAGCAGAAATTCCAGCTCACAGCTACAATGCCCCTCTGCTCCTGACCTGGGCTGCTGGTCACCACTGTGCTTAGACCGCAGTAGGGCCATCGATTTCCTCTAACACCTACCAGTACCCCCGTCACCACCAGTCACACACCTCCACACTGGTAGCTGGGGTTGGCTCCCTTTCTGCCCATACTGTAGGAGCTAAGCTCATCTGCCAGCTGCCCTGCAAGGGTCCCCTCTCCCTTCCCATGTTGTCACTGCTCTTTTCCAATTTTCTCATACCTAAATGCTCACTCGTCTTTTTTATTTAAAAATGCGTTCTCAAATGTGAACTCAAGTGCCCACATCGGGTGGAGGAACTGGATGCCCCTGGAGCTGGAGTTACAGGCAGTTGTGAGCCCCTGACATGGGTGCTGGGAACTGAACTGAACTTGGGTGCCTTAACAGCTAGACCATCTCCTTCCATATCCTGCTGTCTCCTAGGTGCATCTCAATGACATCTATTGGCGTCTGCCTTGACTCCAGTATCAAAAACCCCCAGGCAACACCCAGGGCTCGGCTGCAGATTCCTCAGTCCTCACCAGGCTCCCAGTCATTGGCATTGTTGTGAAACTGAGTGAGTTTCACAAAGATGGTTTCCACTCCCACAGTGGAGTGCCAGAGGGCAGAGGTCAACTCTTTTTTTTTTTTTTTTTTTTTCTGAGACATGGTCTCTCCATATAGTCATGGCTATACTGAAACTTGCTGTGTGGAGTAGGCTGGCCTTGAACTCACAGAGATCCTCCTGTCTCTGCTTCCCAAGTGGTAGGATTAAAGGCATGTACCACCATGCCTGGGCAGTAGTCAACTCTTGCCCACTAAAGTAAGATCTCTTGGAGTGACCCACCAAGCTTCTCTCCAGTTTCACACAAACAGACAGAAGGCCTGAGGAGAGCTGTATTAGGAGGAGAAGGATCTAACTGGCCCACAACCTATCTGCCTGGCTTAACTCAACAAGATAAACTAGCCAATTATTGCAAACTGTTAAGCAATCACAAAGATTGCTTTATACCTGGTTCACACCCATTTCCCAAAGTCATCCGGCCACTGAGGCAAAAATGGAGACAGGACTAGGCAGGCCAAGGCAAAAGTCCACAAGGAGAAAGGAGACCGTGCGAATGGGGGTTTGGGTAAATCCTGTCTACTTATCATGTATGACAGGACAGGGCAGTGTAGAAAAAAACTTCACTCAAACTAAAAAAAAAAAAAAAATCTTCAAAAATGAGTTTCAGGGGAGTGGGCTGTGGATTGTTGCCAATTAGCATACTGACAAACTCTAACTTAGATATTAGACTGTGGAGTCAAGTTCTTAGCAAATTCTTTCACCTTCTGACCTAATTTTCCTCTTCTGTGAAATGGGTTTTCTCTGAGATTGTGGGGAAGATTAAATAAAGGTGGTCATAGTGGTGCAAGCCTGTAATTCCAGCTAAGGCAAGAGGATTGGGAGTTTGAAACAAGCCTGGGGCACACAGCATGATCCTGTCTCAAAAAAAAAAAACCAAAAAACAAAAAACAAAACCCTGCAAATGTATAACACCTGGCATGCCACTACTGACCATTTTTAAAGGAGGTGCCTTCACACCCTGCCCCCGTGGAATCTTCCAGTTCAGTCCAAGCTGTCTGAGATTCCAGGGTGGACAGGAGGAGAGGCAAAGGTTTACCCGACAGAGCCTGACCCCACCCGGGGGCTCACATCGTCCGTGAAGATGGCCAGCTTCCCGCTTTCCAACATGTCTTCCAGTTCTTCGTTGGTAGTAGTCCTGCCAGCTGTGTGGAGAAAGGACCTCCTGCTCAGGAAGTGGGCCTCAGGTAGTGAGTGGGAAGAAGGGAGCAGGACCCTAGGGCCCACCCTCCCACTAGGCTGAGGCCTGGAGTTGGCTCCAGAGAGGAACCACTTAGAGGGGGACCTGACAAGTCCTGGGAGTTTGGGAAAGGGAGGTGCACACTCACTGATCTCCAGCTGCCTCTGGATTCGGTCCTTGCAGCGGTCCCGGTACTTGGACTGAGTTGCATTATATTCGGTCATTACCTCCACGAACTTCCGTGAAAGTGTGGAGTGCTAGGGAAATCAGGGGAAGTCACAGCAGGGTATCAGGGACAGGAGACCCTGAAGGCTGCAGCACCACTCTCCGACATATATTCAAAACCCTAGTTCCACCCACTAGTCCCCCTCCTTCACCTTCCCGCTGGTCCCCTGCTCCGTGAGCCTACCTGGGTCTTGCGGATGCGCAGGTCCGCGGAAGAACGATTCAGCCCCTCTTCCTGCTCAATGCTTTGCTCGATCGCTGCAGAGAGAAAGCAGTAACAGGCTGGAGGCCCCCGAGGATGGGGTGTGGGACCTGGGTCTGGGTCTTGGGAAGAGGTAGGCTCCAGGACTGAGAAGAGGCACCATGCCCAATAAAAGCTTTGGTGAAGCTTATTTGCAGGCTGCCAAGAATACAAGCTGGGGTTTGAGGGGGTTCCCTAAGACAGGTAGGGAGAGTCAAAAGGTCAACAGACAGAAGGTTTGTTCTGTTGGAAGGATTTTTGCCTTGGAAAGAACCCAAGCCCACAAGGGAGTAAAGCCAATCCACTAGAGAGGACCGCTCCTGGGTAATGTCCAGTTCCTCTCAGCTCGGTACAAGAAGCAAAACCCAGCATTTTTTTTTTTTTCTTTTAAAGACAGGGTGTTGCTACATTGTCTGGAACTTGTGGACTCAAAGACTTTACTGCCTCAGCTTTCTGAGTAGCTGTTTCCCCAGGCAAGACCCTCTGCTACCTAACATTCTTGGCTGTCTAGGGTTCTACTGCTGTGAACAGACACCATGACTAAGGCGACTCTTAAAAGGACAACATTTAATTGGGGCTTGCTTACAGGTTCAGAGGTTCAGTCCATTATCATCAAGGCAGGAGCATGGCAGCGTCCAGGCAGGCGTGGTGCAGGAGGAGCTGAGAGTTCTGCCTTATCTGAAGGCTGCTAGGATAAGGGTCTTAAAGGCCACACCCACAGTGCCATGCTTACTCCAAAGGGCCACATCTTCTAATAGTGCCACTCCCTGGGCTGAGCATATACAAACCATCACAGTGGCCATTCAGCTTACTGAGGGGTGTTTTAACAGAGGAAACTTAGCTCTCCTCCCCTGCCTGTCCTATGAGCCACCATTTCTTTTTTATCTTATTTTTTGTTTTGTTTCTCTGTGTAGCCCTGGCTGTCCTGGGACTCAGGCCTCTGCCCACTCCCTGCAATCTCCACCAGTGCTAAGATTAAAGGCATGTGCCACACCTCCCAGCTGAGCTCTCACTTCTAAAGGATGTTTTGAACTTCTTCTGAACCATGTCTTCCTGGGGCCATCATTCAGATTTTCTGAGAAGAGCTTGCAGTAACAGCTTCTTCAAGTCAAATCAGAAAATGGAGCAGGGGACAAATACCTGGGCTGCTATGACTCTCGAAGCCCCCTGGGCCAGTCCCGAGAGTGTCACCTCTCTCTGTCTCACTGGCAGTGGGGGGTGGGGGGAGAGAACCAGATGGCACCTCAAGGCTATCCTGCGAGCAGAAGGAGGCACAGTGACTGAGTGCTATCACTAGCTGTATCCGTCAGGAAGGCACAGGCACACATGACCAGGGATCCAGGAACCTGTCAGCCCTGCCCTGGGCCTTCTTATCAGGCCTGGGACAAAGACCAATTCTGGACAGAGGGGTCTTTTACAACTGTTGTGGGAACTCTGTGATGTCGGCTGATATTTCACACCAGAAACTGGAGTTCAAATTCATGAGAATTCAAGGTCACCCTGATGCCACCAACTGGAGGAAGATGGAAGACATGAAGGGTCTTTTGTTTGTTTTGGATTGTTTTGTTTTGTTTTTTTCCTGATCAGCTCCTCAAACCACCTTCTCTTTTTCTGTCTTCTGTCTGGACCTATTCATGAACCCCTGACCACAAAGTTTTCCTTGTGGTCTTTTAGAAAGTGTTCCACATCAGGGCCAATGGGTCTGAAGAAACCAAGGAGTCCTGCACTTGTGACCTGCCCACAAATCTCACCCTTCCCAGTGCTGAAGGTACAGAAGCAACCACTGTGCCTGGCCAAAGCTTGGCTTTTATGGTGCTTGTTTTGAGATTACCACCTTATAATTCTGGCTGGGCTGGACCTCACAAAGATTTGCCTGCCTCTGCCTCCCTAATCCTGAGACTAACTAATGGTGTGTACCACCAGTCTGTCAACTTTTCTGTCTTATACTTGAGATTTTTTTTAAAAATTTTATGTGCATTGTGTTTTGCCTGCGTGTATGTCTATTATGAAGGTGTCGGATCCCCTGAAACTAGAACTTCAGACACTTGTGAACCTCCATGTGGGTGCTGAGAATTGAACCCGGGTCGTCTGGAAACCAGTGCTCTTAACTACTGAGCTACCTCTCCAACCCCTATATTTGAGATTCTTGGTAAGACATCATCTAGAGAAAGAGACTTTGCAGTCGAGACTAGAACAAAAAAGAAACTATAATTTCTTCGGTTTTCCCTACTATACTGATGAGCGAACTGAGGACAGGGAGTCTACAGTGAGTGGCACTAGAGGCTGGACTCGTCCATGTAGACTGTGAGCATGACCCCAGAGCATGCTCTCTGAGTACAAAGGGCTTGTTTTTATCGGTTAGTATCAGAGGCTCTCGCTCCCGAATGACCTCCTCGTAAGTCCAAAAGGACCTGAAGTTTGTGTCTTCATCTCCTTATGCAAGGTTAGTGGCATTAGGGACAAGCCCCTCCCCCCAAAAAAAGCCTGTCCAGAGCCTAGCAACGAGGCTCAGTGCTGCAGACGCTTTGGTAAATGCCTTACACTGCTGAACTACCAGAGCACAGAAGCGGCTGCTCCTTAAGGCTGCTGCCCCCCTGGCAGCAGCAGACAAGGAGGTTCCCAGCCCACAGTGCTTTGAGGGAAGGTGGTTATTAGCAGCACCCAAGATCTTAAATTGGAGTGAATACAGGAGCATTTGGCAAGGCCCTCCTGAAAGCATGCCAGCCCCTGATGTCAGCCACACAGTCCAATCTGTCCTGAGCCGAGGATACTAATTCAGAAGCATTTGCTGAGCCCACCTACTGGGTGCTCAGTGTCGTGCTCGGAGCCTGTTCAGGACAAATGAGGACTGATCAAAATTAAAACCTCTTGGAAAAGTACAATCCTCTCAGTTTTCCCCCTTTCCTTCCTGGATTCTTTGAAATAGAGTCTCACTATGTAGCCCACACTCATCCGGAGCTCTCAGTCTTCCTGTGGCAGCCTCTGAGGTAATTCAGCAGTGTAAGCCATTTACCAAAGTGTCTGTAGTACTGAGGCCCGTTGCTAGGCTCTGAACAGGCTTTTTTTTTTGGGGGGGGGGGAAAGGGGGCTTGTCCCCAAGGCCACTAACCTTGTGTATGGAGATGAAGACACAAGGCCTTATAGGACCTCCCCCACCTCGAATGACTGGAAATCTGTATTTTTCTGATTGATGGCTCTTAAGGTACAATCCAGGCGGAAACCCGACTTGGCTCATTTCCCTGTCAAGTATTTCCGAAGGACGTGGGCAAAAGTGGGTTTGTATATTTCTCAGCGTTTAGGAATCTGACTCCCAGAGTCCTGTCTTGTCTAATCTAATGTAGGGCAGAAATCTTTGTTCACAGTGGCAGGATTGCATTCCTCACCTTTCAACTTGGACCGAACCTTGTTTGCCGTCTTTTTGATGTCTGCCGTGAGGTCCTCCAGCTCCTGTTTAGTCTCTGGGGGGAGGGCAAGGAGAGCAGTGAGACTCCGGGTGGGGCCCCGGGCCCTGGGTCCCCCCTGCAGCAGCACTCACTCTCATCAGGGTTGGGGGCGGCGAGGATGGCGCTGTGCTGCTTCTTCACTTGCTCCACGTCTTCTGACAGTTTCTCAATGCAGCCTCGGATCTCTTCCACCTGGGGCAGGAAATCAGTGACACCTCATCCAGGTTGGAGGGCCAGAGGAGACCGAGCCAGTGTTCAGTGAAATCAACCAAACCCAGAAGGCCAAGGAGTGTGCAGGGACGGGGGGATCCACAAGGCGAAGGAAGCTAAGGGAAGGGGCAAGGCTCCGGTCCAGGGCTATACAGGGAGCTCTACCTGCTCAAAGAACTCATCCATGAAGTGGTCTCGATCCACATGGACCACCTCCTCTTCATCATCACTGTCTTTCGCCTGGAAGCAAAGCAAGGCCAGATCCATGAGCAGTCCCTGTCCCATTCCCTAAGGTTGACTCTCTACCTTTCTGGTCCTCTGCCTACCACACATACCTATGGGTGGCATCAGTTCTAGACTCAGAAAAGGGATCTTGGGAAGAGCCCTAGTCAAGAGGGATGGCAAGGACACCGACACTCAGAGCCAGCACTGGCTATCTTGTAGACCAATGTCCTAGATGCCAGTGTGCCTTGAAGGAGTCAGCTAAAGGCATCCTCTGAGATCTGAACAGCCTCATGTGTTCAGTCTCCCTGGAAAAGAGGCACTGCTGTGGACTGCTGGGTGTGGACAAATTTCAATACTTCAACAACCAGCTAAATGTCAGCCTTGTGATGACTGCCTCTGGGTTCCAAGGAGGATTCCAGAATGGTTTTCCAGGACTGTAACCCTCCCTACCATCTCCTAGCAGAGCCTGCCCAGGTCTTCCCTCTCCATGCCACAACCTGCCCATCCATTTCCCTCCTAAAGGTCCCATCACTGCCAAGCTGCTGGTGGCTGAAGCCAAGTTGAGCAGGCACAGCCATGTCCATGGTACCCTGACCCACTTCATCCCACATTCCCTCCTCCCACTGCACTGTCTCTTGGAGAGCCTCTTCCCACGCTAGCCACCCACTCCCTCCCAGTCTCTTCCAACCACACGCCCACTAACTCTCTCTGACTCGGATTTCCCAGTTGCAACCTGCAGCTGCTCAGTCCTCCACCCTCAGGGCTCAGAGACACAAAGGGATTCACCCACCCACACTGCCATCTCCAGGCAGACCAGTGACACAGACAGAAGAGCTGACACACAGGCACACAGAAATAGGCCCCCCAACACCCACATGGAGCCACACAGACCCAGGCAGAGCTGCACTGCTGACACGTGGACAGAGGGAGAGGAGGAGGGTGCTGTCTGTTCACCCAACATCTTTGTGCCCCACAACTGTGTTCTTATCCAGAGTTGGGCGGAAGGTACAAGAGGGCTCCCCTGGGATCCCCATTCCTCAGAATTCTCAGGGTAAAGTTGAGCTCGGCCATCAACAGACACTAACAAGTCTGGAGCCCTAATCAGCCCCAGGGTTCAGCCCAAATCTTAGGCAGGTTGAGCCAGAGTTCAGACAGAATGTAGCCAAGAAAGCATGGACGAAATGGAGAAAGAGAAGCCAAACAGTGTCTTCCTGCGAGTGGAGCCACTGGGACCTGGAGCGAGAGCTGACAGGGCTGGAGCAGATCACAGACAGGCCCTCATGGAAGTCAGACAGGCTAAGAAGGAACTGCACTTGGCTCTGATGTATCTCAGTCTGTTCAGATTGAACCTAGACAGAGCCAGATGGAACCAAGATGCAACTAAGACACTAAGATCACTTGGGATCTGCAGAGTGGGGGCAGCTCTGAGACCAGCATAACCCAGAGGAGACCTCCTGTGGCAGGCCAGAAAGTCACCTGCTTCTGCCCAGGTCTTGCTCAAACCATACTCGAAGGTCTCAAAGACCCTGCTAGGATTTTTAGCTTCTCCAGTCTCAACCTGATCCCTGGATGGACACCAGAAGACACTGGCCCTGGAGGCATGTCAGAAGCAGGGCTCATCTCTAGGATGTACCAGTTTCTCAGAGTGCTTTCCAGCTTCTCATCCTCCAGGGCCACAATCTCCTGCTGACCTTCTCAGCCTCCCTCCTCCCACCCACCCTGGACCAGCCTCACACAGGGCAGGGGAACCTTTGCCAGTCTAGGAACCTGAAAACCTTCCTCTTCTCTGTCTTTTTCCCATGCCAACTTAAGGAAGTCCTTCCTAAAGTCTTATTTCAGTTTTGCCTGTTTTCAAAGCCTCTTTCCTCAGATTCTTCCTAAAGTATAAAGGCTACCTACTTCCCCTTGAGAGAGGAAAAAAGAGGTAGAAGGGCCTACATATGATTTGGTTTGGCTAATAACTACAAAGAGAGCTGAAACTCCTCTGTGTGTACAAACACACTCAGAGTCATAATCCCTTCTGATCCTCAGCACCACAGCCCAGTGAGAAAGGCTGGACAAACACTGTTGCCATTTCATAGATGAAGAGGCATGGAGCCAGAGTGGGCAAAGAACAATGATTTGCCCAAGGGCACCAGGCAGAATGGGACCAGGACACCATGGTCTAGGCCCCCAGGACTGCTTCCCTGAAGGCTCCTTAGCCACTACTTGCCATGCATGGGTTCCTTTCCTCCTGGGCCAGCTCCTGCTCAGGCCTCTGCATCCAGACAAACCAGGCAAGCAATGTCACCTATCAGTGCCTCTGCACACATCTTACATTCTTTTTATGTCTTTGGATTGTCACCAAATCTCTATAGAGAGGGGCTGGAGCCATGGCTCAGCTGTTAAAAGTGTGTGTTGGTCTTGGAGAGGACCCAAGTTCAGTTCCCAGCATCCATGTTGGGTAGCTCACAACCACCTGCTTGTAACTCCATTCCAGGGGATCTGATGCCCTCTTCTGGTCTCTACAGGCTCCTGTAGTCATATGTACACACACACACACACACACACACACACACACACACACACACGCTTTTAGAGCCAGGTATGGTGGTGTACACCTTTAGTCCCAGCAGTCAGGAGACAGAGGCAGGCAGACCTCTGAGTTTGAGGTCAGCCTTGTCTACAGAATTCCAGGACCATCAGGGCTGCATAGATAAACCCTGTCTCAAAAACAACAGCAATAAATAAATAAATAAATAAATAAATAAATAATTTTTGTTAAATCTTAAAAACAAAAACAGGGTCTGGAGAGATGGCTCAGTGGTGAAGGATGGGGGCTGCTTAGCCTCCACAGGATCCAGATCAGCTGGGCCTATAGAATAAGACCCTGTCTCCAAAACAGGCATATACCCAGCAGGCACACAATTTTAATTACAATAGAGGCAGACATAGGTGCATCTCTGTGACTTCAAGGCCAGCCTGGTCTACATAGCCAGTGCGAAGCCACACTATATCATAAGTGTCTGTCTAAAGCAAACAAACACATAAACAAACTCTGTGATGACTACTGACCAACACAATTGCAACACTGACAAATACCAGAGAGGCTGATGAAGGGCTGGGTGCTGGTCTGTGTATTCTGCACATGACCATCCATTTAATTCTCTCTATCTCTCTCTTTTTTAAAAGACAATTTATTTATGTGCATTGATGCTTTGCCTGCATATGTGTGTGTGTGTGTATGTATATATATATGAGTGTTGCCAGATCTCTTAGAACTGGAGTTGCAGATGGTGGTGAGCTGCCACGTGGGTGCTGGAAATTGAACCCAGGTTCTCTGGAAGAACAGCCAGTGCTCTTAACTGCTGAGCCATCTCCAGCCCCATTTAATTCACTCTTGACCTCTTTCTGTATGTCTCTACCCACCCCCCACCCTCCCCTGTCTTTACATGTGTGTGTGTGTACGTGTGTGTACGTGTGTGTGTGCGTGCACTCGTGTGTAACCCAGGGCCTCAAGCATGCCTAAGTAACAGTGTCACTGAGTGACAGTCCCAGCTCCTGGTTTTCTGAAGGTCATTCTAAAAGGCTCGGGGTAGCCTTTAACTTGGAATCCTCCTGCCTCTATTTCCTGAGATTATAAACCACATCACCACCAGATCCATCCATTTCATTCTTACAACAGCCTCCCGAGATAGACATCATCACAGCTTCCTTTTATAAACGGAGAACTTTAAGGAGAGAGAGGCTAAAAAGCCAGCACCAGTTCAGCAGCTAGACTGCCCTGTGGGTTTCTGCCCTCCAGGCCTCACACCCCCCTTTGTCAAACTGCAGTCTCCTCCCACAGAGGGCCCAAGGAAGCACTGAGACTCACAGGGAAATGCCTACTGCTCCCAGGGGGAGAATCTTCTTTTTTGTTTTTGTTTTTTTGTTTGTTTGGTTTTGGTTTTTCGAGACAGAGTTTCTCTGTGTAGCTCTGGCTGTCCTGGAACTCACTCTGTAGACCAGGCTGGCCTCGAACTCAGAAATCCACCTGCCTCTGCCTCCCAAGTGCTGGGATTAAAGCCGTGTGCCACCACCGCCCGGTGGGGGAGAATCTTTGATGAGGGTGGACTGTGAGCCCCTCTGCCTTCTGTGTGACAGGTGAGGAGACAGCTCAGACACACTGCCCTATTGCCTGAAGCTTCATAGCAAAGGAAGCCAGAGGTTAAGCTTGAAGTGGGAAGCTGTCAAGTCTCCAGGTTTCTTCCCCAGCCTTCTGACAGGTGCAGTCCCTCTATCCTTACTTGGCCACAAAGAGAGCTACACTGCCCACTCTCTTTTGCTCTATTTCTCTGTTCCTCCCCCTACTTCTTTTTAGGGTCTCACTGTGTGGCCCAGAGTAGCCTTGAACTTGTAGCAATCCTCCTGGCTCATCCTCTCAAGTGTTGGGATTCAGGTATGAGCCCATATCCAGTACATAGTTCTTCGCATTTAATCTCACAATCATTCACCGAAGTAGATAGTCTTATTCTTATTTGACAGATAAAGAAACTGAGGCACAGAGAGATTATGTAACTTGTCTAAGAATGGTCAGCCAATAAGGTGTTGACAGATGGCAGGGCATCACTTGTTACTGTCCCCCAGCTGGTGAACACCTGGAAGGACTCGATTAATAAAAGCTTTTGTCACCTGAAGCTTCCTTGCCCGTTGGGGGTGGGGTTGGGGGGATCTGATCCAATCCCCCGCTCCCATCTGGTCTCCTTAAAGCCACAGTTTTCCACATCAGCAACAAGAGGGTTCTAGGGTGTGTGTGTGTTCCTGAGTGTTCTCAGGTGTGTGTTCCCAGGTGTGTGTTCACGTATGTGTGTGGTGTTGAGGACTGAACTGAAGATATCAAATATACACATCCTGACACGCACTACCATACACTGTCCACCCAGGCGCCTCAGGGCTCGAGCACTACACCATCTCATCTAGAGCCATTAGATACTCTCTTGCACCCCTCAGCATCCTGTCCATCTGCCTCTGAGCTTGGGCCTCCATCTCCCACGCCCCCATCTCCCATGGTCCAGCCTAGCCCTTCACTTCTCCTTCTCCTCTAGCAGCCCACCCAGCCCACCTGTTCACTTCCAGGTCTTCTCCCTGCCTCCCCAAGACCCTCATGCATCTAACAGCTATGTATGATTGGTCCTGAGGGTGAACAGCCTGGGAAGGAAGGGCTTGCCTCGAAGGAGCTGAATGTCCTGTGGGGGAGGGGGAGACAAACAATGCCAAATGGACAAGAGAAAGCGGCTCATCCTGAGAAGTAGCTGGAGGCAGACAGACAGGATGTGATGGAAGCATGCATGTGTCACTTTATTCATGGTGGCCAGAGAGGGTCTTTCTGAGGAGGGGGCATCTGAGTTGAGTCCAGTTGTGCTGTAATTTAGGAAAAACTGAATCTAAGGCAATGGAAGCAGCATTCTGGGCAGAAGAACTGGAGGCAGAAAAAGGCCCAGTGCCCTGGAGGTTATGAATGAATGTTCACTCCAGGCCTCTGCCTACTCTTACAAGCCGGGGGCTTCCTCACTGCAGGCTTTCTGGCCTCTCCTAACCCCTCTCTCCCTTCTCCCTCTGCCAGACCCCTGCCCCCCCAGCTGGGACTGGTCCTCCTGTTTCCTCTTGCTCAACTGTCTCATCACGGTGGCCGGCTTGGCTTCCTCCTTGGACCTGGGACACATGCTCAACTGAGGTTCCATGTCCAGCATAGAACCTCCACGTTCCCAACCAAATGCACTAGGCAACCTGAGACAGAAAGCTGTTCAAGTCCAGTTCCACCAACTGCAGGACCACGCCAGCCCCTCTATCCAGTCTGTCTCTTTCTCCTGTGGCCCTCAGATAATTCCAAAATCAAAATTCATTAGGAGACATCCAAATGGGCTTATGTGACACTCCAGAGGAACAGGAGCATCACCTAGGAATAGCAACCACAGAGCACTGCTGTGCACTACGCCCTTTCTTAGACATCTTGTATTAATTAATTTTTAATTCTCAAAATAATCCTGTGAAATGAGGTGGTACTGTTACTCTCAAAGGACACAGGGAAACTGAGGCTTAGATGTAGCCCCATGACAGAGTACTTGTCTAGTGTATTCGATACCCTCAGGTCAATCCCCAGTAAAACACACACATACACACACACACACACATACACACTCGTGCGCAGGCACACACACACACATGTGCATGCACACACACCCACACTCCCCCAAACAAAAACCCACCCACCCACACTCCCCCAAACAAAAACCCACCCACTACCACCAAACCACCCCAGAGTACCAGACAGGTTAAGTAACATGCCCAAGGTCACACGTGAAATAACTAAATTAGGACATAAGCCCAAACAATGTGGCTTCTAAGTCTGAGCCCTCAACAGATTCGAAAACTCCTTGGCGAGACAGTCAAGCCCCTCGGCTAGTATTCCTGATGCCCCTTCACCGCGTCCTCCAGCTCACTGTCTTCCAAAGTGTGGCTTTCAACTCTGGCAGACACTCCAGACATCTGGGGCGCCTATCTACCCCGCCCCACCAGCACCCTCCCAAACCTCCACGCTCCCTAAGCTGTGAGTAACAGCAAAGTCGTCAGTATTTACCCCACCCCTCCCCCCAGCTCTCCACATCATCTGCCTACTGCACTACCCACCTGGCTCCCCCCCCCACCCCCTGCAGCCCTGGCCACAGGTTTCCTCACCTCTGGGCAGGGAGCCCTGACTCACTCAGTGGAGTCCTCCCCACTCTTGTCTCCCTCTAATTACACCACACTTCCACCCCCACCCCCACCTTATCACATTTCTCTAGGTTTGGGAGTCATGGAATATTCTTAGCTGCTGCGGATCTGAGTTCGAATTCTATTTTCTCCCTTACTTAGCTGTGTGGCCTGGGGAAATCTTTAAACCCCCTGGGCTTCAGTTTTCCTAAATATCAGACAAGGCAGACTCTGTCTACCTTACCAGGAAGTTGGTTGGGATCTAATGGGATTGCCATGACAACCTGCTTTGCGAAATGCACCTGGAGGGGAGTTAGGAGAGTGATGCTGCTGGTCTGGGTTTGAATCCTGCCTTTTTCTAGCTCTGTAACTTTGGCCAAGTTCCTGAATGTCTCTGAGACTCTGTTCCCTTTTCTGTGAGATGAGATCATGCTAACTCCAGCCTCGTAAGATTGCCGGGAACCAAAGGTGATTTCCTATAAAACACACACAATCCAGTTGCCATTGCTACTATGGTTTTCCTCACGCAGTAAATACTCCTTCAAATCTCCTCCCTGAGGGTCAGCTCCTCTATTCTCCCCACTTCCTCTCCAAGAAGTCACTGTGTTCTTTCCCCTCCTTCTCCACATCGCCTGTGAACCAGGGTTCCCAACTCCAGGTCCAGCCTTTGGAGGCTCTCTAACATCAGAGTTCTTTGTCTCCACTCCAAAACTTGTGTTTCAAAGGCCGGAAGGTGGGTAGCCCATGGTCAGCTTGGCGGCCTGGAGGCCCCTGAGCCATTTGACCTGTACCACAGGCACACTTGCTTGATGACCTTGGGCCAGTCCCTTCCCATCCCTGGACCTCAGTTTCCCCATCTGTCAGGTAGAGTAACAATCCCTTGGAATTCTGGCATACTCCAATCCATCAGGACACAGTGGCCAGTGGCCACTGCCACACAGCAGACTGGAACCTCAACCTCCTTGGGCTCATGTCATTTTTCAAATGTCTCAGCACCCTCCCTGCCCAAAACCATTTTCATCAGGCCACCACAGTCCCAAAGAGCAGCCTCCCCTGCAGCCCCCTAGCCTATCCTCCTCCAGCCCTGCTAGCCAGCCTCCTGGAGCCTGGCCCCTGGCTGCCAGCAGCATGCCCCTGGCTGCTCCCATGCTCCAGTTCCCCCAAGCACTGTGTGGCCTATGTCACACAACCCAATTCTGTGACCTGGCGGATGGATCTTTCTCTCCTCTCCCACCTTTGGGGTCATCTGAGCTGAGGCTCTGGCCCAGGGGAACTCAGTCTCACACACACACACTCACACTCCCCCTTTGAGCAGTGCCCTCTCCCCACAGAGCAACACACCAGTGCGCGTGCGCACGGACACACACACACACACACACACACACACACACACCACCATCACCACCACCAATACCACCACACACTTCATTCACTGCCAGGTGCTGGCATCTAATCCCAACCTGTGTCCTCCATAGCATCCCAAATCTGGGTCCTCCTGGACCCGGCCTGGCCAATAACCACCTCCTCCAACCGGCTAATTTGACAAGCCTGCTCTAGGGATGATGGTGTCCCCCAATCCTTTCTTGACATTCACTTTCTCCCATCCCCAGGTGAGATTCTAGGGTCCTCCCGGGTATTTGGGCTGCCCAGGCCCCTGAGACCTCTCCTGCCCCCTTGTGTCTTAATGGCCTCCAACTCCTTCCAGCCACTGTCCTCCAATTGCAGGTTCACTGGAGATATCAGGTGCCAGGAGATGTTAGGGCTCCGGCTTCCAACCTCTAGTCTCATCATTTGCCCCCCCCCCTGGCCCCGGACCTCCCCCACTCCATCCCCCAAGCGCTCCCCAAATACAGGGTCCCGCCTCCCCACCTCTCCCAACCCTTAGCTCACACTCCGCAGCTCCTGAGTCCGATCCTTCATCCTGCGACGGGCTCCTCCTCCCCTTCTTCGTCCTCCCGCCTCCGCTGCTGCTCTCTGCCTCTTGCCTCTGTGCTGGAGGCCGGGGTCTGGGGACACCGGGCTAGACCTCCGAGGGATGTGCGGGTAAGGTGCGCGGCGGGGGATGGGGGGGCGGGGAGCTGAGGCCAGGCAGAGACAGGGGCCTGGGCCGACTGGGCTCTGCCTAGGCTGCGGTGGCGATGCGGCTGCGGCACAGGGTTGGATGGAGGGATGCGGGAACCGAGGCGCGGGGGAGGGGGGCGGAGGGAGGTGAGGAGGAAGGGAGGGAGGGGGAGCGGAGGGGGCGGGGAGCAGGGGGCATGCGCAGCGCCCCGGGCTGGGGGCGCCTGGGGGTTGTAGTCCGGGGAGGGGCACCCAAGGGAGGGGCTCTGGGGAGGCCCAGAAGTTGGGAGGGGGAGCCCAAGAAGCAGGGAGAGATGCAGAGGCAGGGATAGAGATGCTGGGCAAACTGCAGTTGGGGTGGACCGGCAGAGAAGGTCTAAGGCAGTGGACTAAGGGAATAACCTGAGAGAAGCAGAGTGTCTGTGAGCCTTCGCAGGACCTTCTTTTATTCCGTCCCTTTGGCTCTGCAGAAGACTCTTTGGGCACTAGAAATAACAAACCTGACCCTGTATGTGGCTGTTGCTTGCTGAGAAGGACATGGGGCTTGTTGTGCACATCCTTCGTCACCCTACCTGAGAGTGCCCCAGCACTGGTGGATCTCAGCTTGTCTACCCCCAAGAACAGCGTGGTCACTACCTGCAAAGACTTCTGGTCTGGGATTTTAGATGACTCTGTTAAAAATGACACTTATCCTGGCCTAGAGTGAATCTCAATGGTGTAGACTTGCCTGGCATGCCTTTAAAGCCCAGGGTTCGATCCCCAACACCGGGGTTTGGGGTGGGGATGCAGAAGGAAGGAAGATGTCTGCTGGGAGTAGAATCTTGAATCTGGTGCTGCAGGAGATCTAGGGAGCTCTCCACTCTCTGCTCTCCCTCCTTCTCATCCTTAAATAGCACTTTAGTTCTTCCTTTCATTGGCAGGAGGGTTTGGACTCCCAGCCGGGTGGGCTTCGACCCTGCTTTTGCCAAATACCCAGTAACTACTTTGAGACACCATTCATCTTTGTCATGGCAGGGCCTACCATCTGTGACCTTCAACAGTTCCTACACCCAGTGCCTTCTTGTGAAGACTCTCTTCTTGTCTCCTCGCCTTGTCTGCCCCCTGTCCCATGACCTTAACTCTGGTTTCTGCCTCCCACCTCCTTCCAGCCCTTCCTGTGTTCTGTGACCTCAGTCAAGGTTCCTGGAAGCTAGTGTAAGTTCTCATCTTCCTTTTTAATCCCTCTGACTTTATATACACATGTGTATGTAGGTGTGCTCATTTGTACATGTGCACACATGTAGGTCAAAAGTCAGTGTTGGGCGGCTTCTGACGTTCCCCACCTTATTTTTAGTTTTTGTTTTAGAGACAGGATCTTGCACTGAACCTAACCTTACCATTTTCGATATACTGGTTGAGTTGGAACCTTCCCGTTTCTGTGCCTCTGGGGCTTGCAGGCTTACAGGTTATAGAGGTGTGCTGTTGTACACAGCTTCTGTGTGGATGCTGGAGATAAACTCAGGTACAGGTCATCCACTGAACCTAGGTCCTCATCTTGGCCTTCCTGCATCTTCATGCCTCTAGTACCTACCAGCCTGTACCTGTGAACCAGGTAACCTCAGAGGAAGGTCCTGCTATAAGCTGGAGGCCAAGAACACAGAGACAAAACATGCTGTCAGAAAATTACCTATAGTGAGTATGGCCAGGACTCTGGTGTGGGGACCCCAAGGACATAGCGTCAGCTTTTGCTGTTCTGGAAGTGCTTCTTTCTGTCTCCATCAACAATGGCATCTCTACCTACCCAGCCACTCAATGGAGCAGAATCTGTCCCTGACTCCCTCACCTACCCACAGCGCTGCTGTGATGTTCTGTGTATCCACCATGTCCTCCCCCCTCCACGGTAACTCATCAGCCTCCTAACCACTACTACTGTCTCAAGTGTACAGATCAGCAAGCCGGGGCTTCAAAGGGCTAAGTAGCATGTCCAGTGTTACAAGATGGGGTTCCCTTTGGCAGCATCTCCCTCTCTCTAATGCCAGAGATTGAAGCTAGACTTGTCACATGCCAGGTAAATGCTCTACCACTAAACTACAGCTCAGCCCTGGTTTGTCACGTTCTGAACTTCCTCCTGTTACAACTACTTCAGGTCAGTCTGCGCTTCCTCGCCTTCCTTTTACCTGGGTCACCAGGAATAGTCCTCGCTGCTCTTCCCTCTTGAAGGGCCTTCCCTTCAAGTCCTCCTTCCTCCCTGGATCCTAGTGATTATCTCCAAATCGTCTGAGTATGCTAATGTTACCTGTTGAACCTCCACCCTCCACATCCCACTGCTTCTAGGATTATGCTCAAAATCGAATCTAAGGCCTGACACAGTGGTGGCTGCCTATAATCTAGAAAGATGTCAAGTTGGAGGTCAGCCTGGTTATAAATGGAGCTTTGATTCAAAAAACAAACAAATGGGCTGAGACAGTCTAGCAGAGCGCTGGCTGCCTTACAGACGACAAGCTTCAGATCGCAGCACCTCCATGGCTCTCACAGCTGCCTGTAACTCCTGTCCTAGGGGATCTGATGCCCTCTTCTTGGCCTCCACGGGCACTATATACAGGTGGTACATTTACATACACACAGGCCCCACACACTTAAAATAAATACAAAATTAATGAACTGGAAAGACGGATCAATGGTTAAAAGCACTTGTTACTCTTGCTGAGGACCCAGGTTCCACTCCCAGCACCCACATGGCACTCACAACCATCTGTGACTGTAGTCCCAATGGGTTTGATACCCTCTTCTAGCCTCCTCGGGCACCAGTTATGCATGTGGTACCTATACATACATGCAGAAAAAAATACTCATAGGTTATAAAATAAAAATAAGTTTTAAAACAAATAAACGCCTACTCTGTCATTTGGTTACACCAATATCACCTCCTTTTCCCATCATCTCCCTTTATGCCTCTGACCGTCTGTGAGCTCCCGCTGTGTGTTCACTGTGTGTGGAATAGCATTGTGTCCCTTCTCTGACAGTCATCCTTCCGTCCTGTGAGGCCAAGGTCCAGTCTTCCACCAGAACAGCACAGGCCTAACAGCTGTCTACATTTCCTCAGGAATTGACACAGGCCAAGCACAAAGTATTGCTCACCGGAAATCTGAATAACGGGCATGTTGAGTCACACCTTTTCCTAGGCACAAAGATAAAGAAAATAATTCCAACAAGGTTGGCGTATTTTGTCTGCAGAGCTCACTGCTTGCTGTTTTCCCCAGGGCTTTGTGGATCCTTGAACACAGTGAGTTCACTGTGTGTGTTAAGTGAGAGGACAGAGTGAATGGACACAGGAACAACAAGCTATGATGACAATAGTAATTCCTGTCGTTGTCCAGAGATTTATTTATTTACTTTTGTAAAGCTTGGTGGTGTGGGGATTGAACCTTGGGTATGATAAACAGGCATTTTACCATTTATAGTCACAGTCCTCATTTTTAAAGACAATGATGATGATGGTTTGAGACAGGGACTCATTATGTAGCATTGGCTGGCCTGGGACTTGGCTGGTCTCGATCCACTTGCCCAAAAGCATGTAGCATCATACCTGGCCCAGATTTACTATTATTTTCTATATGTGCATGGGTTGTGTGTATACTGTCCACACATGCGCACATGGCTTCATGCACATGAATGCAGGTACTTATGGAAGCCAGAGGTGTTAGATCCTCTAGAGTTGAAGTTACAGAGTCATGAGCTGCCTGACATGGATGTTCTGAACCAAACTCAGATCCTCTGCAAGTGCAGTGTGCTCTCTTAACTGCTAAACTGTCTCTCTAGCCCCTACATTTAAAAACTTGTTATTTCATGTGTGTTTCATTATGTATGTTTACTATGCATGTGACTGGTTCCCATGGAGGTCAGCAGACAGCATCAGACCCTTGGAATTGGTGTTACGGATGGCTGTAGCCACCATGAGCGTGCTGGAAACGGAAGCTAGGTCCTCTGTAAGAGCAACAAGTGCTCTTAACTACTGGGCCTTGTCGACAGCCCCTCCTTTAAAATTTTTATTTTGAGAGAGTATTGCCAGTTTGCTCAGGCTGACTTTGAATTTGTTGTCCCTCTGCTGTAGCCTCCCAAATAGCTGTAAAGGTGTGTGCCAGGGCCATCGAGGTGGCTCGGCAGGTGGAGAAACTTGCTACCACCTTAGATCTGAATTCTGTCCTTAGGACCTGTGGTGAAGGGAGCGAGCTTACTCTAGCAGGTTGTCCTCTGGCCCCCAACCTAGCGCTATGGCACACACATACTCATTCATAAGAATTGATCCTTAGAGGTGTGAGCCACCATCCTCAGATTGTTCATCGACTTTCTGCTGCTTGTTATTTCATCTTGCTTGTGGTGCTGGGGATTGGATCCATAGCCTTGATTCACTAGGCAAGCACTTGCTAGATCCTTTAATGACTTCCACTGATCACATCCAGGATCACTTGAAATCTACCACATAAGCTTAAGAGTGAGCCTGCAGCACGCATCAGGTTCTTTTGCAGTCTCTCTCTGTGAGCCTCAGCATAGCCAGGCAGCCCCGCTCGGGAAGGACCCTGACCTCTGTTGCTCATATTGGCACAGGCTGCCATTTCTTAAGGACCCTGATTCCAGTCTTCTTTGTTTGTTTTTTGTTTTTTATTTTTTTTTTATTTTTTTTTTTGAGACAGGGTTTCTCTGTGTAGCCCTGGCTGTCCTGGAACTCACTCTGTAAGCCAGGCTGGCCTTGAACTCAGAAATCCGCCTGCCTCTGCCTCCCAAGTGCTGGGATTAAAGGTGTGTGCCACCACTGTCCGGCTCGGATTCCAGTCTTAAGTCACTGCCCATGCTTTTCTCCCATCATGCCGTTCCTCAAGCTCCTGTCTCCTGGAGGTCTCTTCTCTATCATAACCTCCCCAGCTTAC